ATTTTTTTGCGGACTGTTAGAACAATTTCATAAAAGTAAGCTTGAACTTTCGATTATGTCAAATAGAATTTCCGATATATATTTACTAATATGTAATTTGTATCTACAAAGCGAAAGTATGTTTTGAAATCCGAAATCTGTTTATCAATTTCACGCCGCGGATTGGAAGTTGATCTGTCAGCACTATCCTTATCTTCAGGGCAGATGTTTTTATTTTATTTGGCTTATAATTCCTTACTAAGTGGAGTATTTCATCTCGATATACTCCGTCTTTGATATGATTTAAATCAAATTCCTCGTCATTATAATTTGCTTCCGATAGTGAAGAAAGTGACCCACAGGTTATTGAAAACGAAAACATTTCGATTGATAAATTAGTCGATATTCTCAACACAGCAATTATAGGACTTGAACAGCGGAACTTTGTAACTAAACAAGAAATTATGTCTGTTTAATAGAATTAAAGAGAAAGTATTATCACATGAAACGAAGCAACTTACACTGAAAGAAATGTTTAATAAAGTAAACAAAATAAATATTAAGCTTTTTCTTTTTGTAAATTTTGATACCCTTTAGATCATAATTGTTCTTTATATCATAAATTTCGGTTTCATATTTTTAATTTTGTAATTTCTGCATGCCATCTTACCAGATTTAAACTTATGATCTATAATCCGGAAAAATCGATAATCCGGAATCGCCGAAGTCCCGACGAGTCCGGATTAACGACTTTTGACTGTATAGTGAATATTAAAGAGTGCATTTATTCTATTGTGATTTATGCGCTCGACGAAGATTTAATTCAATCCAATCAGTTTAAATGAAATGCAAGAAAAAATGGGTATAATTTAATATTCCGTACAAGGAAGTCATGTGCTGCACACATCAGATTTTTTAGTTTAGCCCCCATTATTTGTCTACATTTGAAACTAAGCAGAATAGTGGATTTGTTACCAATCTAGAGAAGCTAAGCTTCGCAATAACAAAGAAACGTCTTCTTTTACTATTGCGGATTAAGTTATGCTTAATCTATTCTGGAATTATCATAAAAATTTCCCAGCCTACACATAATCGAGCCAAGTCTGCATGAGACAATGAATTGATTTTCCCAACATCGTTCCCCCCATTGAGTATACAACAAAAAAACCATCTTTTATGAAACGTATTTCCATACCAAAATGCATTGAAATTTCACAAATAAAACGAGGCGGCCGATATGCCGATATGTCATGCCTATCACAGACCAAGAGAACCTCCACAAAGAACTACATAAACTAAAGACACTCGCACTACAAGCACCATACTTCCGAAGAAGAGACCCCACTATGGAAGCAATCTACGTTAGATACTCCGACCCAGTACAACAAACCCCAGACCAACAAGCAACACCACAACAAGCATGCCAAAATCCCACCACTATGGAGCAGCAAGAAGAGCAAACACAAACAAATGCCATGAACGAGAACAACCATACAATACAGAGAACCAACAGCCAACTCGGTGAAGATCCAGAGCAAGCCTCAGACACCCACTCACAGCAAAGAAGCACCAAATCATCGGGCAAAGCAGACACACAACAAACAGCAATCCAGTTCACCCCAATCCCACCAAACAACCTGAGACCTCTACCACAGCGCCCAATCTTCAACCATATCTACAATACCAGACGAAGCCTCAAGATAATGGAATCACAAATACACAACGAAAAAGATCAAGAAATAACCAACACCCCCAGCAAGGAGAAAGACATCCAGCAAACACATACCCCAGAAGAACCCTCAGAAGCACAAGCAACCTCCAAAGAAAAATCTCCACCTCACAACAGAAGAACGAATGAAAATCAAGACAACAATAAAACCTACGCTGACATCGCCAAGGCACCAACCTCAAACAATAACACCACCATATTAATATACCCCAAAGACGCCAGACTCTGCCGAAATCTACAAGACAAGCTCCAGGAAATCATACCTCTCCACGAAATGAATGTGAACATTAAAAACATCACCAACATTAGACAAGGAGGCCTGGCTATACACTGCCACAAGGCTGAAGACGTCAACAAACTGAATGAAGCCCTGAACAACCAAGCTCGTGTCAAATCCCTCATAAGCATGAAAATCCCTCAGACCAGAACACCAAAATGTACAATCCACGCACTCCCAAAAAACCTCACAGAAGAAGAAGATCTACTTAGAACACTCACCCAACAAACAGGAATACGAGTACAAGACATCAAACCACTTTTCAAGCTTAATGGACCAAACAACACAGACAGATGGATTATTGAATGCCTTGGCCACTCCTTCGACAAACTCATGACAAAAAGACAAATATTTCTTGGATGGAGAACAAACAAAATCACAGAATACACAGGAGCAAGAAGGTGCCAGACATGTCAAGACTTCGCACACAAAACGCAAGACTGCGAGTACAGTACACGCTGCTCCTACTGTGCAGGAAGACATGAGGCAGCGGACTGCACAGCTCAGACACCTCATTGTGTAAATTGCCTGATCAACAATGAAAAATTCAACGCCAACATTGACTGCAGACACCCCGCCACCCTCCCTCTCATGCCCCACTTACCAACTTGAAGTCCGAAAAATTAAATCTAGAACAAATTACAGAAGCTAAACAATGGACCACAACGCTACTCTACCAACAACCGCACTACTCTCATCTCAAGCAAACTCCAACAACATCAAGCTCCTACAAATAAACTTACAAAAAGCTAAAACTGCAAATGACCAACTCACCCAACATCTTCAAGAAAATCCCGCCGACTTCATTACCATCCAAGAACCCTACTGCATACATGGACAAGTGGCTCGCATACCAAGACAGTGGACAATAATACAACAGCATAATACTAACCATACAACCCCCCCAAGAGCAGCAATAATATTTACAAGCAACAGATGGAACCCAACAATCATCACCTGCCAACGAGACATAATCACCATATCCATCAAAACCAAGAACAGCGAGCTCATGATCACAAGCATTTACATCGCACCAACAGATGACCCTACTCCAGCACTCAACACTCTTTCCCAAGTTCTTCATCAACATCAATGTCCCCACATCATCAGCGGAGATTTCAACTCCCAAAATACAGTCTGGGGCTACCAACGGACTAACCCCAGAGGTACCCAAATACTTGACTTCATCAACGCCAACAACTTAATTCTGCATAATCAAGAGTCTGACCCCCCCTCATTTGACAACATTTATACGCAAGGATGGACAGACCTCCAACTAACAACCACACATCTCGCCAATCGGATCCAAAATAGAAATATACTGAATGAACACACAGAGTCAGATCATAAATATATCACACTAGAAATCTCAGAAGAAATTTTCCAAAGTACGTTCACCAGATTCAAAATTAACAACAATAAAGCAAGGAAATTTCAACGCCTAATCAAACCTTTAATAGAAGATCTCAACAACTCCATAGAAGCCTGCACAACCAAACAAGAAAGAAATCAACCTCATCACACAAGAGCTTATCACAAAAATTCAAACTACATGTGAAAGTACTTTCAAGAAAAGAACCTCAACACCACTACAGAATATAAACTGGTGGACAAAAGGACCTTCGAATACAGAAACATAAAACAAGAGCACTACGACCGAAGAATCAAAATTCCCCAAACAGATGAAGAACGAAACCACCACTTACAACAATATAGAAAACAAAAAAGCATTTTACAAGCAATGCATAATTCAAGCCAAACTCAAAGCATGGCATACATACTGCTCCAACAATCAAGATACTTACGGTCCCCTATACAGAATAGCCACTAACAAGATCTTCGCACCAACTCAACTCCATGTAAATACGAACCAACCAAACAGCACCTCTCCAACCACAGAAACAACCCTCAACGCTATCCTAAACTCTGTCATGCAAAAAGATAACCCCGAAGACGATGATCCCGCCCAACAAGAACTTCGCAATAACCACCAGGCACCACCAACAATAGATGATCCACCAATCACTGCAATTGAAATAGCCAAGATAATCAAGCACCTAAACAATAAAAAAGCACCAGGCCCCGATGGCATATGCAATAAAATAATAAAGCTAATCCATCAAACTCAACCTAACCTCTTCCTTAACCTCGTAAACAGATGCATCCAACAAGCCACCTTTCCTGACTGCTTAAAAACAGGACAAATTATCCTCTTCCTTAAACCCAACAAAGCTCCAGAAGAACCTTCATCATACCGCCCCATCAACCTCCTCCCTGCCATCGGGAAAATCCTGGAACGCTGCCTCGTTGGAAGACTACAGTACCACCTCCTCCACAGTCAAAACTACATCAACAACAACCAATATGGATTTAGAAAACAACAACGCTCCACCATCCACGCCATAACAGCCATTATCAAACAGATTAATTACAATAAAGCCAACAACCTCCACACAGCAATCATCAGCCTTGACCTCCAATCCGCCTTCGACTCGGTCTGGTGGCCCGCCATCCGTCATGCACTGAGAAACACCAACTGCCCCCAAAATATCTACAACACCATCAATGACTTTCTACAGAACAGAGCCAGTACCATCCTCTACAACAACACCATTATCACAAGAAAACAAGTAAGAGGATGCCCGCAGGGGGCCTGTATGAGTGCTGACCTGTGGGTACTCACCTTCAATGAAATCCTAAACCAAACCTGGCCACAACACTCAAAAATAACAGCCTTCGCCGACGACATAGCATTTGTCGTCGGAGGACGTACCCACGCAATTCTGGAAAAACACTGCCAAGAAGTCGTTACAATCTTCAAAAACCACTGCACCAAATACAAGCTCAAAATCTCACCGGAAAAATCAAAGATCATCACTTTTCACAAGCCAGGACAAAATCTAACCAAACAGATCTCAGTCAAGATGGATGGCAAGAAAATAAAACACACCAAAACAATCAAATACCTAGGAATTCTGATCGACCAAAAAACTGAACTACATTGAACATCTCCAGAACATCAAGACCAAGACTCACCAAATAAGCCAAAATCTCCGCAGAATGCACGGCACAAACTGGGGTCTCAACCCACACATAACAAAGATTCTACTCCAAACAGTCATCACCAAAATTGTAACATACGGAGCAGCAATCTGGGCCCTACCTATGACAGAAAGAAAAAAGAAGATTCTAACCACCATACAACGCCAATTCACCCTGAACATAACACGAGCATTCCAAACAGCACCAAACTCGGCACTGGACATCTTGGCAGGTACAACTCCACTCCATCTAGAAGCAACATATGAGGCAATATACTCCACCATCTCCCAACTCCAAGATCCTATAACGCATGAAGACATCAGCTATGATCCACAAGAATACGAAACCAAACCTCCACCATATAACAGACATCCAGCTACCCCACATACAAGAATAAAATTCACTCCCATCACCAATAGTCAACAACGGAACAATACCTCAACAATAGCCTACACAGACGGCTCGAAAATAGACGACAAGGTTGGCTGCGGTGTCTACATCCCCATCCAAAACAACATCGCAGAAGATATTAAATGGAAAGGCTTCCTGAAAAACAATAACACAGTATTCCAAGCAGAACTGGCAGCCATAAAATATGCAATAGCAATAGCCTCTGAAAACAACATCAGCAACCTCCTTATCAAAACCGATAGCCAAGCCGCCCTTCTAGCAATAAAAGACCCAAACAATAGATCTCCAATAGCCTTCCAAATCAACCAAGACTCCATCTCCTCTCCAATAAACAGCATCACCATCGAATGGATTAAAGGCCATAACCAAATAGAAGGAAATGACATCGCAGACAACCTTGCCAAAGAAGCTGCCCTTAACCAAGAATCATTCCCTGTCAATGCCAAGCTTCCCACATCATACCTTAAGAACAAAATTAAACAGCAAATCCTCAATATCTGGCAAAGAGAGTGGGACAATACAACAACCGGCAGACGCACACACGAAATCTTCCCTACCTGCAACAACGAAACCAAAAGCACAACAGCATCCCTCACCAGCTTTCTCACAGAACATGGACCATACCCCACATACTTTTACAAAAGAAACCTCTCCAACACAGAGATGTGCATCTGCGGAGAAACCGGAAACGCCGATCACTACCACTTCTCATGTGCACTAACCCAAGAACTCCATATACGAAGTCCCTCAACAATAACCACAGCCTTCAAAAGAATGATCGTCAAACTCCCTCACCTCATCACCGCCTTCAACAAGCTACACAACAAACTCAACAACATGGGACTGGATCTATGCTCTGTGTCTCCTTCACCATCAGCAATATCCAGGTAATAACACACCAAATCCACAAGTGTCCAATCTCCAATGAACTCTGAAACTACTGAATGGACTGTTGAACTCTTCAACAAGGCTCACACACCACAAATCACTAACACCAAAATAACACCAAAACACAAAACACCACTATACACAAGAGCCAATGGACTGAGATGAACTCTTGAACTTATGAAAAACTTTTAGAAGGCTCCTACACAAAAACACCAATTAAACACTCCATCAACACCCAAAGACTAAAACAGTGTCTCATCTGTAAACCAAAATTATATATTTTCCAAATACTGTAAATAATGTTGTATATATTATGTAACCTCTTTTTCTTTTTGTAATAAATAAATTAGCCCTCCGATCCCGAAGGACAGCAAAGCGCGCGGGCCCAGTCTTGTCCGGTGGGAGAATGGTGGAGCTGGGGTCGGTGTGGCCCTGGCCTGCTTTTGGGCTTGGAATGGGTGCGCTGCCTGGCATGCACGACTGACAATCTCCAACCCCCCCCTCCCCTAATAAACTACACCTCATTAGATCTCATGGAGGGTTCAACTCTAGATTGGTTAGTGTAAGGGAGCAATACCTGTTCGAGCTATGAAGTACAGGTGCTCCCCACACTTTTACCTGTACCGTATCTTCATTTTTAATAGTTTGGTTTTTATTTTTTTGTTCAAGTGAGAACTAAAAATGAATGAAAATATCTTAATATTCGAATCTTAAGAAACGAAAATGCTTATAATTTAATATTCGACAAGGAAGTCATGTGGTGTACACATCTGACCCTTAGATGAAAATCTAAGCTCAATTAACGACATTTCCTAAATTTGTTATGTGTTACTATGTGAAAAATATTTTAAAAGAAAAAGTATCTAAATGTGAAATAGTAAATGCACTCCATATCGCAATGAACTCCAAAAAATTAAGATTATATTTCCGATATATGCACATTTTAGTTTTTGAGGCGATTTATTACCATTTAGTGCTCGTAGGTGAACATAAAAAATGTTTTGTAACTGGGAAAATAAATATTTACGTATAAAAACTTTAAAACCACCGTTTCCCTTTTGTTGCTTCAAGAAACGAGAGAAATGTTTATTTGAAAATTTTAAGCCATAAATAACTCCATTTTAGAACAATTTATTTGAAAATGAAGATAAAATATTATTTATAATAGAAGTAAAAAAGAATATTTAGTTCCTAAACTGTAAGAAATGTTTTATTGTTGAGGAAATAAACATGTACGAATAAAAGTTTAAAATATTCCGATTTTTCTTTTTGTTGCTATAAGAAACGGGAAAAATGTTTAATTGAAATTATCTTCATTTTAGAACAATATATTTGAAATTCAAGGATAAGTATCATTTATTTACAATTAAAAAAATAATATTTAATTCCAAAGAACCTAATAAATATTTTATAGTTGGGGAAAAAATATTTGCGAATAAAAGTTTTAAAAGAATTCCTATTTTCCCCTGTTTTTTACGCTTAAAAAATGATAAGCATTACCTATTAACAATAGAAAAAAGTAATGTTTAGTTCAGCAATAAAATACAGAGGCTGTTCGCACATTTTTAGACGATTTTCGTAAGCGGTAATAAAAAATCCTTTGCTGCAAAAGAAGTAATTGCAATTGTACTATGTTTTTAGAAGTCAAAATTATCGTCTGTGGCTTGAAAGGTTTGTTTTTATTCAAAATGGCGAATTTAACAAAGCAGTTGTTCCCAAGCTACATTGACGCTCTTTCCGAAGAGAAATATGCATACTCCGTTATCCAAAAACAATGTGAGAGTCATAGTTTGTGATATTTAAAGCGTCGATAGGTAATATCATCAACAAGAAATTAAAAAAAAATAAATTGGAGCCTCAAGTTGGACAAAAATTCCAAACAAGTATCCAAGGAAGAAACGGACATCTTCGACTATTGCAAAGGTACGTTGTTTACTGTCAAAAGAAAATCCTCCTAGTAAAAGAACAGTTGCAAAATCATTAAAATGCTCGGTGTCTACTGTAAAAAAATTATAAACTTTGATTTCAATCTTAAGAAAGCGAAAAAACGCAATGTGCATCGTCTTCTTCCAAAGCATATCGCTCAACGCAGGGCACACTGCAGAATTCTATATGAGAAACACTTATCCAAAGAAAAATAGAAAACAATTGTCACAATAGATGAAGCATGGGTGCATTTAAATGATTGTAACAAAAAAAGATCAATTTATTATCATAAAAGGGGAGAAAAAATTTAAGTACATGGTTCAAAGAATCGAAAGAAAGCTTTACTAAGGGATTCATGATTGTTGCTCGTTTTTCTTATAATGCCAAGTTAAAAATAAAGAGAGTGCAAAACATTGTGAAGATTAACTCCGAATACTATGAGGAACATATTTTATCGCCAATTTTTCTGAACGAAATACCATCGCTTTACACACAGTGCCATCCATCTGTGAGACTCCATCAGGACAAAGGTAGCAGTCACACATCAAAATCCACTGTAAATTTTCTAAAAGAAATGGAACAAAAAAACTGATATCAAGGCCATACCCTTCACTGATATCCCTACTAAGTCTCCCGATGTGTCATCTATGTATTTTTGTGCTTTCGGACTTTTAAAAACTGCATTATCCAAACGTTGTCCCAAAACCCTAACAGCTGGAAAGCTGTTCGGGAGGAATGGGATAGACTATCTCTTCTGCCACCTCAAAAGGCATTATTATCCTGGAAATTGCAGTGTCGTAAGACAGTTTAGAATAAGGGATGTCAAATAGAACATTTAAAGCACAAGAATTTTATGTAATTTAGTTTTGTGAATACAATATACATCGTCTAAAAAATGTGTGAACAGCGTCTTTAAAAGTAAGGAATAATTTTAGGTATTGACAAAATTTTGATATTACTAAAACTAAAAACATTCTCATTGGCCGATGCAGATTCAGGCCCATTAGTATTAGGAATCAGTTTGTATTACCTAGCAGAAGATTCTGTTCAATATACCAAAATGATGTATTCATCCTGTAATGGAAATTACCAAATCTCAAGATTTCGATATCAATGGTACATAGCATACTCTGAGAAAACCTTCTAGCGTAAGTTTCATACATTTTTCTAGGAAAACACATAAGTACTTCAGGTTATCTTGACGAGATATGAAAAATTCAAACACAACGGAGGAGAATAAATACAAGTTCAAAGATTATGAATGAGAGACGAGAGAAATATGAATATTTTACGCTATACAAATAAAGTATTTTATAAATATAAAAACGGACATTTGGGTAACAGAGAGTAAGGAAGAAGAGATCCATTCTCATCCTTCAACGGACACGTCAGGATGAATAAGTGGGCTTTGAGAACTCAGAGAAATGAAATTTTTTTAGTGAAGGAATTTCTCTTGAGAATTTTGAGGAAAGAGTTTTTTGATGAAGACACATTTGTCCTTCGATTTTTGTCAACGAATGGGACATGCTGAAATGAATTAGAGTAAAAGTATGTTTTACTTCGAAATAATATTTAAAATATGGAATATCAAACTGAATACAAGTTTTAAGAACCCTTTAACCCTTTCATACCGAAGGACAAAAAGGTTTCACAACTTGTGCTTTGATCCACCTCGAGTAATTTGATGTGACCATTACATGGAATGTTTTGTATATTTCTTCAGTTCAGAAATTATAATTTTTTAATTAAATAACTTAATTATATTAAAATAACATAAACTTATCATCTAATTGTATTCAAGATGAACAAGAATTATGTATTTGGTAGGTACATTCTTTGGGGACTATGTACATTTTAATGATTTTTTTTATCTATGAATGATCGTCTATTTTTACTTCCTTCTACGAAGTAAAAAGGAAATATTACAATACTTCTTTTTACTTCGTATAAGGAAGTATTGTAATCGCGAAAAGTTTCACGCAGCATATTTTTCAACGAAAATATCCATATTGATAGCTATCGAATGCAATTTAACGATGTTTTTTCGTGACATCTGTACGTAAGCATAGAATAAAAGACTCCTTTCCTCCAAAAAATTATAAAACTGCTTAAAAATGAATTCTGAAGAGAATTTTTAATGGCGTCTGTACGTACGTACGTATCTCGCATAACTCAAAAACGAGTAGCCTCAGAACGTTGAAATTTTGTATATAGGACTGCTATAACATGTAGATGTGCACCTCGTATTTTGGTTAAAATCGGCCGCACCAAACGTATATAAATATATTTATATATATATCCACTCTGTTACCCGGCTCGGTGTGATCTCAGTTTCTTTACTCTTATATGTTTGTACGTTGTGCATTTTTTTTGCTTTAAAATTGATTTGAATTATGTTTTTCTTATCTTCCGGTTAAGATTATTTTACTTTAGTAAATCTGCAAGCAATATTTGTAGAATTATCAATAATTTAAAAGCTGTTTAAGTGCGATTTAGCCTAATTTTTAAATAACAGGCCGAACATATTTGTTTACATTTGAAACAGCAGAATAGTAGATTTGTTGCCTATCTAAGAGACTAAGCTTCGCAACAACAAGGATAACGCCTTCATTTAGTATTGCGAATTAAATCATGCTTAATCTTTTCTGGAATTTTTTCAAGGAAATAAGTGTTTAAGTAATTTTTAATATAGATATATAGAGTTTTATGTAGTTTTGCCTCGTCGCGAAGTGAGAACTGAATTAATTGAATGAGAAATACTAAATCGTCTGTGAAAAACTGTTTCCTTTTTGTTCTGTTTGCTTAATTTCTTTCATACATCGTTCTAGATTTATTATAGTATTCGAACAGAACATGTTGCAACGATTAGATAATTCTTCAAATGATATAATTTGGGGCATTCTGAGTGAAAATATGAACGCAATTTCACGCTGTTAAGTGAACCTAGCGCCAGAGTGTCTTTATAGTAAACAAATATAGTGAATTTTAAAAACGTGCATTTATTTTATTGTGGTTGTTTGCGCTATGGGCGAAGTAGATTTAATTTAATCCAATAAGTGTAAATGAAATGCAAGAAA